AAATTGACCGTCTCCAACTTGTCCCCTTTACTATTAACCATGTGACCAACAGAGCTGTGGCATGGAAACAGTACAAAGAGTTGTCATGGCAATAAGTTTGGCTGATGCAAAGGTCATTGTGCAGGGCTAAAGGGCAAAATCAGTGGTCCGTGTTATCCTCCAACTGCAGTGCTCCACCACACCCACACAATTTTCAGGAATTGGAAAAAACTGGGGAACTAGCAGAAAGTGCAAATAAGAAGGAGGCAGTTTTCAGCTCCTTCAGCATGGAGTAGAACATTCAACTTTGAGCTTTTCCTGTTTAATGTGATTAGCCTGCATATGATTTTACTCTCTCCTTCTTTTTTTTTTTTAAGTTTTCTACAGAAACCAAATGAAAAAGTCCAGGAGCATGCAGCTGGTTAATGTTAACAAAAGACCTTGACAGGATCATGTAAACTATATTGGATGTCATGCTTAGGACCTTACTGCCAGCAATGTTAAGAGAGTTGTTCATTATAAGTGAATACTGTACACTGAATATGGGATAACTTTCTGCAGCCTTCATAGTCTCACACAGTAAATATAATTTAGATTTAGGTACAGAACACACTCTGGTGTCACAGCTGAGCGTGGCCTTGTGCAATCTTTTTCATTAAGTCTTTATGAAGCTACAAGTTGCAAATCCAAAATCCTGCTCCCTGAGGACACAGCTATGTGAGACATAAGTACTGTTTTAGTTCTAAATACCATCATGTAACAATCACAAAAACTTTTGCTAAAGGCCATATATACTAATAAAAAGACAGTGGTGCTTCCAACATTTTGAAATGCTCTGAAAACCAACTTTTCCAATACTAAATACAACAAAATAACCTTCATAAAATATAACTTTTCTCCATTTACATTTTTAAAGGATTAGTAGCCTATGCTTTTCAAGCAAAGGAATCTGCGAAATAACTCCTAACGTGGACAGATTCTTTTTTCATATATAAATTAAGAAACTGGAGAGTTTTAACCCAAGTCCAGTTTCCAAACAAGGAATATTCTTGTTTACTTTAAAAATGGAAATGGCATGCATTTCCATTATAATTGTTAAAAAGTTAGCTTTACAAAAAAGGGTATTTTAATTAAAAAAAAAATTCTTAACAAAACTATACAGTGTACAAATTACTGTCTACAAGGTAGGCGGTTCATTCAGAATATCCTCCTTTCTTCTCGCTACTTGCAGCTTCACAAATTCATTCACATATTTTCAATGGAGCTGCCCACCTGAACATCACCCCACAACTATATTGCTATAATTAATATTTTTGCCATGTCTTTATGTACAGTCTCCTTCACTGCCTTTTTTTTTTTTCCTTAGTCAAGCCTCAAACGTTCATGTCACTCCAGGGGAAACACACTTCAGTGGCACAGCCACGAGGCCAGGGCTGCAAAGCAACTTAATAAAGGCAGAACAGTGCACATAGAACGGGGTGGCTTGATTTAGTCAGAATACACTTCCTGGTGAAGGAGGAGGCCAGAGACTGGATTTGAGTTCTCAGTCTTATCTTGATCTTTTGACTGCAGAGCATTAAAACAACAAAACAAAACAAAACAAACAAAACAAAACAACCAACGACAACAAAAAATACAAACACACACAAAAATAAAACCCACACTGCTTCCAAACTGCTCAGTATCAGTGGCATGTGGAAAGGACACTGCAGACTTTGTTTTATCAGAGCCTGACATGCACTCTTGAGTGGACCTAGTACGTTTTGGTACTCAATAGCCATGTGCTTTGTGAATGAATTCGCTTACTATGGGTCTCAGAAAAAAACCCACAATATAATGGTACTTTTATTTTCCTTTTGCTGTCTTATCTTTTACATGGGGTTTCTTTTACATGGCGTTTTCTTTCTTTCTTTCAGGTTAGCTGTAGACTAATCTCAAGGACTTGCTTTTTCAGCAGCCAGTCAGGTGATGCCTACACACACCTCTCCTGCTTGAGAGGTGGGGATGTGCCAACACCACGGCTCATCAGCCAGAAGGGACTAACTTCGCTGTGCCACTGCCCAGCACTGTATTGGAACTGCACCTCTGGGGCTGCTCCAGGGTAGTGAAACCTACAAAATGCAGAGACGACTACTGCAAAAGGTTTTGTTTTCAGAGTGGAGTATCCCATTTCCACAAGTCTATACTCTTCTGTGCTCACACCCTAATAAAAGGATGTACTTTTAAGAAAAATTCATTCTGTGTTGAGCCATACATCTTATCACTGGTGCGCAAGAGGTCTCCAGCAACAGGCTCACTAATGATCTGCAAGACATGATTTCACTGGAAACCTACTTTTATTTACATCCTAGTCTAATCCCATGCATTAAGAAACTCTCCATCTGACTTGCTAAATGAGAAGACACTGCAAACATCTGACACAACCTTGAGCAGCCCAAATATTGTAATTCAGATGCTGTGAGTTAACAAACTTGGGGGGAGAAAAAAGAAACTTTTGATGAGGGGAAAAAAAATAATTAAAAAAAAAGATAAAAAAAAAGAATATTTACCAGTCAAGAAGACTGAGGGAGGCAAATTCTCTGCAGGAGCAACTCTGGAGTCGAGCGGAGTTAGGGGAATTCTGCCAACAAAGATTTTGGCCCTGTATGTGCATTTCCTAGACAAAGCAAGTGTCTTTGTCATTCTGAGCTAAAAACATTTTCTAATGTGAACACTTTAGGATGCAGTATCTTTGCCAGAATGGAAAAGGCTCAGTCTCACTGGGGGTTCTGACCTCCTTCTCTGTCTGTCTCTCTCTTTCTCAATAAAAACAAAACAAAACAAAAACAAGCAAAAACCCAAACAAACAAAACAAAACAAAAAACCCACAAAACTTAAAACAACTTCCTCAAGTCAAGTCTGCCTCCAACAGAATTCATTATTTATTTTTTAAATCCAGAAATGATTTCAGCTTGCACCCCAGGTGGGAAGTTAAAACGAGGGAACCTGTTTGGAAGTTTGTCACAGTAGGCAGAACAGTCGCTTTGCAGCCCTTGCCTGGCTAAGGGTGCACTGCTTCACAGCTACACTGTAAAGTGTTAAAAATCCTCCCCACCCACCCCAGAATATATATATATTTATGTATGTATAAAAAAAAAATCCCCTATCCACCTCTCAGTACAGAAAAGGACCTCATCACACTGCAAAAATAGCAGTACCCACTTTGGTCAATTAAAACAAACAAAAAAAAGCATACATTATTCTTTTTTCTTTTTTCTTTTTTTTTCTTTTAAATCTGTGTACTTACCTATAATAACCAATACAGCTAAAAGCACTACCTACATAGGCAAAACTTGGTATTGCATAATTCGTATAAATTTGTATCCCCTCCCCCCAATATTAATTGGAAGATGAAAAACATGAAAGGTTAATAGAAAAAACACCAAAATACTGAAAATATTGCTGGTTGATTACAATTTTTAAGCGGCAACTATACACAGCCATGATATGCTTTATAAATGTGAGATAAAGGTATAACTGTCTAAAAAATCCATGATGTCACACTTTTTTCCCACCTGGAGTACAAAATATTTTGTCATAAAAATGGTAAAGACTTAAAATTATAATAAATGCAGCAAAACAAGTGTAGTGATGTCAAAATTTTTTGTGGTTTTTTTCTTCTTTTTTTGTTTTTTTCCATTTTTTAGATTTCAAGGCAAGGCACGTAATGTGGACATTATATCTTCGTGCAAATTAGGATTACTGGAAAGAGTATTTTAATTATATTTTTAAAGAGACATATAGGCAAAATGTCTGCCCATGCACATTATATTTCTGTCAATATGTGAAAATTGGTGAACAAGGCTAACTTCTGAAAGCACCATGCAAATTTTCAGCACCCTGTAATTACACTTACATGAAGAGTGCATTATTTAAATATAACATATCCCCATCCTGGTATTACCAGTTTGTAAACGGTAAGCTTTGCCCTTGTGACATGGATTTGCCTATCTTTTTGTCTCTATGATGCAGATTTTACAGAAACATGTAAACCCTATGGGTTCTTGATGCAACCAGTAACTTTAAATAAATAAATCCTACCCCTCTGTGGAGGCAGCAGCTAAACCAACATAAGTGCTGTATTTCCATCAATTTCTTTTTCTCAAGGACATGATTTGTCTTGATTTAATGCCTTTTAATGCCCTCAAAAACTGAGGGGAAAAACAAGTTTGTTCGAAGTAATTTTTATTTCTATTTTTAATCCCCTCAATTTAGAGTCCAAGGGCTGAAGGACTTATAGTGATGACCCCTTAGATATGATTTTTAAATTGCACTTGCCTCTGTAAGTGTTTCTTTAGTGGGGAAAACATTAACTTCCTTTTCTTTTTTACTGTTGCATAAGGAGATAACACTTTTACCTACGCAGAGGCATTTCTTCCATAGAGCTTGTGTGTTCATACTGATTGAAAACTCTGAACTGCATAACACACTAGAAAAGGCTGAATTAAGGGCCAAAGTTCAATAAATCCATACTGATAACTAAAGGCTACAGAGCTTATTTTTAAATCATTCAGAAATCAGTGTTGAGAAAATGGGTGGCTCACTGCCCGTGTCCTCCTGCAGCTCTGCTACTACTGCCTAGCCTTTGTTTTGTGAGATAACCAGGAATAGTGATCCCATGCGTAAACAACAAGAATACTAAACCAATAAAACTAGCTTATCATGCAAATATTAAGGCATCTAGAAAGTCAGTTAAAATATATTGTCAGAGACAGAAATCTATTTCCCAGCGGACTTCATATAACAAAGGCTACTTGGCAGGGGCTGCATTCTACCCATCAGTGAAATATCATTGACCCTTTGTATGTCATTTCAGTTTCAACCATAAGGGAATTAGTGATTGTAAGAGCTGCAATTGCTGGTCTATTTTTCCTTCTTTCTTCAGTTTCGTCGTCCTGGATTCCCTTCTTTTTTCTTTTTCTTTTTCTTTTTTTTTTTTTTAACTTTGCTTTTATTTCATTATTTATCTGTATTTTTTTCCCTCAGTTGCTTGTTTCTGCTTGAAGGAAAGGCTCTCCAATTATGTTCAAACCATAGTTTGGGACATTTGTTGGCAGGATCGGTGTCCTATTTGATACTTGAAAAGGAACCAAGCTAGCCCAGGTACCAGGACTGTTGAAAAGGGGAAAGAGATGAGAGAGAAAGAGAGAGAGAAAAAAAAAACAACAAACACATAAATTAAACACGTTGTAAAAACCAGAACACAATTACTTTGAATCAGGGCTAAGACAATATCAATTATTAACAGCACTACCTAAGACAAAATAAGAAACCAAATTTGTGGATGTCACTTGACATTCTACTTCACAGTTGTTTCATTGTGAAAAGTTGTTGAAGTTTTATTGTGAAACTATGATGTATCTGAAAGAAATACAATTGCATTCATATTAGCTGCAAGTAGAACTGCTGTCCTACACTAAGTAGCCTGACATTTCATGAAAGCCCCACAAAATTTCAGATGCAAATATATTGAGTAGACACAACTAAACCATACAAGTGACACTATAGGGGACCATGGATGTTACTCAAGAGCTACTGAAATACACTACTGTGTGTTTGCTCTTTTTCAGAACACACTATTAAGGTACAGTGGTTAAGCTTCCTGTACCATTTCCCACCCTCTTACAACCTGGCAGTTTATCTTGTTCCAGTCCCAGGATGTGTCTCTGGGGTGCATGGTCCCCCATGACAACAGAGGACCTTTAATATTCAAAACACCTGCTTTCTTCATAGTTTTTTCCAAAAAGGTACCAGTGTCTGAGGGATACTGGATAACACAGGACCCAACCATCTAAACACCTGCAGCCAAGTTGTATCTGTGAGTCAAGTGTAGCAGCAAGTACCATAAATTGTTTGACACAGAAAATATTTTTAAAAGCAATTCAATTACTTCAAAACTTAAGTCATCGTTTCAAAAGCAAAAGCATTCTGTAACTGAGGAGCTTATGTCCCAATGGCATTAACATATTTAGCAGGCACCAACTAGTAGTAGATACCACACTCAACAGCATTTACAAAATGGATAAGCAAAGAAAGATCTCAGCTGCCTCTATTCAGTACCCAGAGCAGACCCTGAGCAGCCTTTTCCTTAGTTGTGTTTCTGGCAACAAAGAAACACCAGACTTGAGAGAAAGTCCCATCAAATTTATTCAGAAGAAAAACAACCTCATTATGTCAGCAATCATTGCCAAAATGTCCACCAGAACTGGACACAACACATGCAAGCAGATGCTTCCTCCACATTGCATTACATCCGGCTTCTCTCCATGCTAGGTGTTTCCACATACACAACAGCTTACTTGAGAATACACACTGGGATTAGACTGATAAGCTTCATGGTAACACATCTGCAGACTAAAACCTCCATTATGTTTTGTGGAAGACAGATGCTGGAGGTTCTCATCCTTTTCTCTCTTTGGTCACCTCTCCACACTAAACTCTCCCTGGATGAGCAGATGCAACTGCTGTGGCATTGGATGTAAAGAGGAAAACGGGCTCTTTTAATCTATTTTAGATGTGTATGAAATAACTACATTTTACTTGGCAGATTTGTGTGAACCTTCAAGTTGATCTGTATGAACATTAAGGAAAAAGGTCAACTTATTTTGTGAAATTGGGGGGTGGAGGTTGGGGGGTTAGGGGTGTGTTCTTCTGGCCTTTTATCTTAAAAATAATACAAACAGCTTCTGTTGTTTATTTCTGTCTGATGCCCCTTACCTCTCTAAGCCTGTTTAATTACTCTTTTGATTCGTAACAATTCATTTCAAGTACTCTGTTTTGCACACCAAAAAAGGTGGAAAAAAATGCTGAGATCTTTGTCTCAGCGACGGTCAAATTCTGAAGAGAGCAAGACTAATCTTTTTTCTTTAAGGAAATAGAAGAAATATGAACATCCTAATCTATTTTAAATGCCTGAAATACAAATAATATTCAATAGGAAGGCTTTTTTTTTTTTTTTTTCCCATTGAATATATATCTATATACACACACAGAGGTTATTAATATATATTTAATTCTTTCGACTAGTAGAAATAAAATAAAATCTATTGCTGGAGAAATAATCACTTTTGAAATTTAAAAATCATACTTACAGCACAAATCTTGAAATATTCAAAAAGACTTAAACCCAGTTATACATAAAAGATGTCTGATATGATCTGATGAAAAGTTTATGTTAAAAAAAAAAAAAAATCAATGCTAGAATCTCATTTAAGAAGCCTAATTGTTTCAAATTAATCTTCAGTTTTCTTTGTAATTTATTTTAAAATGCATTTTTTGTTTCTTCCTCTTTGGATTTGAATGATGTTAAGAACTAAATTCTGAAATAGCAGACACAATACAAATCATTTTCAAGCAGCGGCATTTGTAAAAATAGGAATTAGTAATTAATAAAAAAACCAAAAAAAGTCAAGCAGATTTTTTTTCTGCAGATCTGTCTGAATATATCTTTTACAGTGCACAGTTCTTTACTGTCCTTTTACACAGCACTTACAGTGTGTTTTTTTTTTAAATAGACCACTATCTAAAAGAATGTACATTTTGCGGGAAGTCAAGATGGTATTTAAACAATTGCTGCTGCAAAGGCTAAATACACAGCTTCCAGGTTATCTTTCCAAAGATTTACAGTGCAGTTCAGTTGTTTGATACATGCATATGTGACTTTTTCTTTGTTTTAAAGTTGACAACCTTCTAATGACTACAACAGGTGAAGGAAAGCAGTCAGTGCTGATAAAGAACAAGTTACTATTCGTAGCAGCTTTCTTATCTACTACTTCATACAGGTGACAGAAATCTTGATTTTGTGGAAAGTGCTTAATAAAAAGAAGTTGTGGCAAGTGACTGATAGGACTGTTGTCATATGACCTACAAATTTAATACAGGTGTTTATTTAAGCCTTCCAAGCCTCCCACCTTGTATTACAACCATGACAAAAATGCAGACTGCAACCAGTTCATCAATGCTGCTTATGACTCCTCAGGGAGTAACAAATCTCCCATGTTAACACTGTGTGAATCCCACAGGAGCTCCTGCAGCCTACTAGAGACGGTGGTGCTGGCAGAGGAGCACTCACAGCCCCAGGACAGCTACAGCCATCTGCCTGCAGTGGCTGGAAAAGACGTATTGCCCTGGTACTGCTGAAGGTGTGTTAAAGTCCCTGATCCACATGCACCCACTGGACAGCAGCTGGCAGCAGGGAAGGACAGGCCATACCCTCTGTTGGCTAGTGTTTCCTAGGTCATGACTTTCAAGGCTTGACAGGCTTCAGCCGTATCTTAGAAATTAACCATATCATACTGCAGTTTGATGTTAATCTATCTCAGGCCACACCAGTCCTGCTATCACCAAGGGTTTACTGCAGACAAAAGAGGAGTGAAATCTCAGTAATAGCAATAATAGCACTAATCACAGTACAAAGGCTGAGAACAGCTCTGATACAAAGAAAACCAAAAATAATTCGGGCTGTGCTGTGCTGCACATGTACGACTGTCTATCCAAAACACTCAAATACCCCACTACCTCTATAGTAAATTTAATCAAACTTTCAACTGCCATAAGAGACACACCCTGCTTTGTAGCTCCCCAGACCTCCTGCACACAGCTGAGCAAGGTCTCCATCAGCATTCTCAAACATGTATATGCCCTGAAGGGACCTCTGTAACCATCGTGTAGTTTAACTTCCATCATGGAAACTATCTAGGATTTCTCTGCAGAGCATCCCAGCAGAAGTGCCAGTTACTGCTGACTGCAAAGCAAACTCTGCCTGGAGGCCCATACAGGTGGCAACGGCAGGAAAGGGGAAAACACCTTTTCCTTCGCCACACTATGCAGCAGTTTGCATAAGTCCCAGGTAAACTTCCAGCTTCTAGTTTTATAAAAGCAGAGGCAATGCTCTGTCTCTGTTCACTAAGTGCCTTAAGAAGGGGGAAGCCAAAACTCTTTTCATTGCCTGGGACACAGGCAAGCTAGTTGTCTTGCAGAAGTTAATGAGATGTCCCTCTGCCCATGGCTTCTCTTTCAGATAAAAAAGCTTTTTATGTATGAGTGGAATAAAGCAAATCTATCCCACCCTCCAGCTCACTGCTCCTGAGGAAATATGCAAGCCCTGTGATATCAGACGTTATGATAATGACGCCCCTCCTTTGGAATATGGAGCGAGACCTCAAAAAAACCTTCTCTATTCTAAGTTTGAAAGAAAATGACATGACAAGCATCATCAGATATTACTCTGAGTAGCTTTTGTGGGAGCAAGTATGGCTTGCACAGTCACCTTCCTGAAGCATTATACCTCTAAGTAATTTCACTACCAGAAACAGTCTTCTCTCACCATAACTAGACCACCAGGTGTGTTAAGAAGCCATCAGTCCCCTCTCTATCCATTCAAGTATAATGTACTTGTCTGCTCAAATGTAATAAAACAGCAAAGTGAAATTCTGCAAGCGTCCTACAAGGTTCTCTGTAATTCTCCATTACAGTTTCCATTACAGTTTTCACATTAATTCAATCAAGATTTCTGCCATGATTTCCTCTTAAAGATAATAATTGCTGTTTTGAGAACCTCTGATTAAAATATTACTGGAATGGACCACAAGCAGTAAAAAACATTATACCTATATACAGTCCACTTTGGAGGTTATAATAATATAAAGGGCATAATAATGTTAAACAATTAACTAAATACAATAAAAAATAAATCCATTCAGACCTGAGTAAACCTGAAGTATTATGAGACTTAATTTCCACCAGTTACTACTTTCTATTACAGCTCCAAAAGTCTGTTAGAGCAACCCACCATTTGAAAGTACACCTATACCAGTATTTCCTTCCCACAGCTTTACTACCCTGTGTATGAGCACACTTACTTAGACGAGGTAGATCAGATCATGCTAGGACACTCTTTGGACAGAAAAGGTCCAAAGCATCAACCATGCTGATGATGTTGAGGGAAGGAACACTGGCAAGTCACTAAGCAAGATTCCTTTATCTTGGTACTAAGTAAGTGCTCACCCACACAAGTACATGGAACTTCACCATTTCAAATTGTTAAGATTGTATCAACTTTGGAAGCTCAGTTGTGTGAACCTCAGTGCCCTGAGGTTCCCACTTCTAAATGC